CCAGCCGTGCACCCCGGAGGCTCAGTCTTCCCCGCACCCTTGGAAAAGCAGAGACGAGACGCGGTCTGTGTTGGTTTCTTTATTAATTCATAGTCCGATAGCTGGTGTACAGGGAAATGATCTATACATCAGGGGCTAAGACAGGGAGATCCAAAAGGCTTGTTTCCATAACAATTAAAAAAAGGAAATAAAAGTAATCTTTAAAACTTCTAAAAAGCTTCTAGTGTGCAGACTGCAGCATTCTCTAGGCTCGATGTTGGGTGCAGCCTCCCCCTACCAGCCCTACGAGCAATCTGAGCGCAAAGCAATGTCACCGCAGGTGCCTGGCACGGTTGCAGCACAGCACATTCTCTAAGGCGTATACAAGGCCAAAGCACAGGACCCACACACAACGCTACGGTGATGCTACGGAGTCTGCTGTCGCGGTGGGTCTGGGGAGGTTATCGTACACAGCGAGGGTGATGGACGGAGACTCTGTGCCTAGATGGCTCAACTTTGGGGTGGGGAAGGGGTTGCTTTGCTCTCCAAGGCTAAGCTGGGTCGTTTGCTTTGCTGCAGCTACGCTTTTTCCCGACTGCAGGGGAGCCAGGGGCTTTCCCGGCAGTCGTGCCTGCCGCGAGACAGGGGCTGCCCCACCAGGGCCGCCATTCCACGGCCAGAACCTGGAGGGGGGCTCGTTCTGCACGCGGCCGCAGACAACAAACTCGTGCCCCGCGGAACAGTTCCGTGGCCACCTCCAGGGGAAAGAGCGGGGGGGGGTCCCCCACACGACTGTGCTACAAAGGCCAGGCCCCCCACGTCGGTTAGGTAAAGGACAGAGTCGGGGACACGGCACCTACTGCCACTACCTGCGTCCTGCTTGAGTGCTGCAGCGGATTCAACCTCCCGCACGCCTCAGAGTTGCCTGGGCAGCTCTGCCCGTCTCTGCCCTCCTGCTAGAGCAGCTGGCCCCCGGGGGGGGCCAGGCTGCTGCAGCAGGGGGTTTCACCTGGCCAAAGTGCTGCCACCAGGGGAGCAGCCCCCCCCCCCAAGTCTCCGGGATTGGTCCTGCGAGGGTCAGCATCCACGGGGTCACCCAGCTCTCCTCATTTGTGCCCTTGCAGGGAGGCCAGGGGACCCCGCAAAGCCCTTGCACGGGGCGTGCGGTGCGGGGCTGCCGGCTCCTGCCAGCTCCTGGCTCATCTCCCGAGCAGATATTGTGCTGAGTAGAGCTAGGCGCAACCCCGTGTGTGGCACAAGCATCCCGTGCTCTGTCTCGCTACCCAGCCTCCCTGGCCAGCCCCAAGCACCTCAGCGCAGGCTTACGGCTTCACGCCAGCTGGAGCCAACACAAATTGGGGCTCGCACCGCGGACAGGCCTACGGGACTGCGCCTGTGGGCCCCTCTCTTCGGGCCAGGCAGGGACCAGGCTCAGCCGGAGGGGGCACAGGGCAGGGGCAGTCTGCTGCCCTTTTACTCCCGTAGCCTCCCAGCTCCATTCGCCAGAGCTGCTCACGTACTCCAAAGGTTTTTGCCCGTCCTGCAGCCTGAAGAGGTATTTGGGAGCAGAGCTGTTAGTGCTTTGTACGTACTGCTAAGAGTGTCCCTAGGGGTTTGCATAGTATTTATTGGTTCATATACACAAGGCTGATTGCTGTACAGTTTACACTTTCGACACAAGCAACGAGCTCAGTGCTCAGCCCAGAGCCCTGCCCTGGCGGGAGACGTTGCAACGTGCTGGGGAGAGGAAGGGCAGCCCTGCGCCAGCCCCTCTGCCCAGGGCAGATGCGCTCCCTGCGACCCTCCTCTCGCACACCCCCCTGGCAACTGCTGCCCTCCCCATAACCCAACACTCACTGAGAGGGATGAGAAGCGAGTCCAGCAGAGGCAGCACAGGTGATGGC